GATCCGTATGTTAAAGCAAAATGGTTGTTGCATCGAGCAAGCAAGGCTCACGCCTTCTTTTATGGAATAAAATTAGGTCCAACATTCATGAACGAAGCCATTTGTAAGATTTTGTTCGCAAAGAAGGTTGTCTTTTCTAGGTACTTTATTCAAAGGTTAATGTTGCAATTTGCAACTTGTTTTCCAAAATCGGTTTATCCAAACGGCGAACCATGGGCATACAACGTACGCTTAGATACTTTATTTTCGATATTAAAACAAGGGGAAGTTCAATACGGGGAGGAACTTACTTTGAGGGGGAATGACATGGATAAATTTTATCATCTGTCAGGTGGCCCTTTCTTATTAATGAATTCTCATACCCTTTTAATAAAAAATTTGGAAGAGATAAAAAAGTTAATCATAAATAAGAAATTTATTCCATTTCCACCTACACGTCGATTATATTTTTACAGTGGATATCACGTTGATTATAATCTTGAAAAATTCCCCCCCTTTGATGGTTACGAACAGGAAGGAAATTTAAATATAATCGCTAGAGCCATATTGTTCAAACCTGAATTAATAAACACGTGGAAAAGTATAGGTTACTCGGAAGTATGTGATGATTTCAATGAGGTGGTTATACATGGATTATTTCTGACCCTTGATCCTCCATCTCAAGTTCAACATGCATTTGAAAAGTTGGTTTTAAATCTTGAAAAATTCATCGAAATGGGATTTCGATTAACAGATAGAATCATTGTTGATGTTCTTCAATTTTATGAATATGAACTAGCTGAACTAGGTGAATTACTCTGGAGGGTCTTCCGTTCGATCCGAACCGGTGAATCGGATTTTGCATTCATTTTTGGACTATTTAAAGTAGTGTTCGATCCCAATAGATGTCATGAAAAAGACGATATCTTCATTTTCTTAAAGTCAAAGACTACACATCATGAAAATTTTTTAAGACAAATTCTTGGTCAACATTTTAATCGAGAGAACCTAGATGATATCAATTTTAATATAAGGAAAAAATCTTTAATATTTTCACCAATTATCTATGAATTTGTGATAAAAAATTATGATAGCGATTCCGATTTGTCCTTAATGTGCTTTAAGGACACACTTGCGTTGAGAATTTATTATGATGATCCAAATAATGGGAAATTTGCAAATAAAATATCAATTAGGTTAATTAAAGACATTTATGATTACTTTAAGATACGTATTGACTATTTACCGGAGCACATGGAGTTATTAAGGCGTGCAAAAAGTGCAGACATTGTTAAACCATTCCTTGAAGATTTTGTACCAAATGTTTTCTTATCTAACGACAATATCAAAAAGTCGATTTGGTTCAATGCAATACATTCTTTGAAAGGAGATGATTATTTTAATAATTATTTATTAAGATTAATTGAATACTTT